GAGGAGAGGGGGAGTCGACGACGAGAGGGCAGCGGCGAGGCACCAGCGGAGCGACTACGGAGACGGCCGCTCCAGGGAGACTGCTCACCAGACGCCTCAGCACCCCCAGACTCAGTACTGCCAAGCTCAGCACCCCCAGACCCCTCACACTCAGGCTCAGCACCTCCAGGCTCCACACCCTCAAGCTCCGCACCCCCACGCTCAATACCCCCAGGCTCAGCACCCCCAGGCTCCGCACCCCCAGGCTCAGCACCCCCAGGCTCCGCACCCCCAGACTCAGCACCCCCAGAAGTAGCACCCCGAGCAGGACCACCCTCAGCAGGACCTGAGTCACCAGTGACCTCAACTGGCGCAGTCAAGGGAGGAGGGTCTACCTGAGACACACCTGAAGGAGCAGGACCGGGAGCGGGGAGGGGGTCTACCTGGGGAGAACCTGGAGCGAGGAAGAGCGGCGGGGGGGGGGGGGGGGGGGGGGGGGGGGGAGCGGGGCAGTGCGGTAGGGGAAGAGACGGTAAAAGGGAACCGACTCATCGAACGTGACGTCCTGAGACGCAAAGACACGGCGCGAGGTGGGGTGGTAAAACTGCCAACCAGGCGCATCAGGGCCTGGTCCAGGAAGACACTGGGAACAGCGCGGGCGGAGAGCTTGTCCGCGGTGGTATCGCGGACAAAGGCACGAGCACCCCAGACCCGGAAACGCGACGCATCGCCAACCTTCCCCGTCCACAGCAGTGTGGGCAAGGAGACACGAGGCCAGAGGTTGAGCTGATGCGCGGCGTACCGGACCGCAAACGGCCATAGAAAATGGGGGGCAGCCGCATGGATCATGGAGGTACGAGCGACCTCCATGACAAGGCCAATGCGGCGCTCAGCAACCCCATTCTGCTGTGGAGAGGCCGGAAGCGTGAACGTCTGGCGGATGCCGCGCTCCGCACAGTAGGCTGCCAAGAGGTCGGAGGAGAACTCACCACCTCTGTCAGAGTGCTGACGCAGGACAGGAAAGTCCGACCGGAACCGCTCGCGGAGCTGGAGAGGAACAATGCGGATCCAAGGGATCAAAACATCAGGGACGTCCCCCTTGCTCTGCAAGGGGAAGACCGTGGTGTAACGCGTGTAGTCGTCGATGACCAGCAGGAAGTACCGCTCGTGGCCCTGTCCACGGACGCGGGCTGGGCCCCACACGTCCAGGTGGAGAGTCTGCAGAGGAGCCTCTGTGGGAGGGAACGAGGAGGAGTGAGGAGCGGCGCGCTGCCGCCCCTCGACGCAAGGAATGCAGGGCGGCGTAGGCGAGGGAGGGAGGGCAGGCAGAGACCTGGGAAGACCAGAGACCAGGGAGCGAGAGTGCATGCCACGAAGGCGAGGCAGGGAGGGGTGACCAAGGCGGTGGTGCCACAGGAGAGTGTCGTGCGACAGGCGACGACACTCACACACTCTCGGCAGCTACCTGAGTAGACACAGACGCAGACGCAGCTACCTGAGGGGACTTAGTGGTCAGTGTGTACAGACTCGAGCCAGGCGCACGGGTAAACGTGGCTAGGTGTCGGCCCGTCCGAGCACACGTATAGTGAGTCACTCGCTGACTCGCAGGAGTGAACTGGTCAACCCCCCGATCCTGGAGGTCAGCTCCACTCACCAAGTTCGTAGAGAACGAGGGGAGGTAAAGACTTGACAGCGAGCCAGACGAGGCGGCCGGACACGGCAGAACCGTGGAGTAGTGGGCAAGGACTGGACCCCCGGAGGGGTCCGCCAGGGAGACTGGAACTGGCCGACTGAGCGGCGTGAGTGTGGTGCAGTCGCGAAAGAAGGAGCGGGAAGCTCCTGAGTCAAGGGTGAAGGTGTGCAAGACCGCAGCAGGCGCAGTACCAGAGAGAGCAGACTCACCAGCACCTAGAGCAGCAGCCTCACTAGCACCTAGAGCAGGAGACGCACGAGCACCTAGAGCAGCAGCCTCACCAGTACCGAGAGCAGCAGGCGCTATACCAGGGTCAGGCGGGACGCACAGGTAACAGGCACGGTCAACACTAGTAGGCAATGCATACATGGCAATGAGAATAGCATCATAGTCAAGAGCAAAGATATCTACCCTCTGTCCAAGCAGCTCCGGCCAGGTAGGGAGCTCAGCCTCGTCTCCAAACACGGTACGCCAGGCGTCGCTCAGACGGGCGAAGCAGCGGGACTGTGTGTGACCAAGCGTCCCACAAGGCTGACCAGTCCTATCACCTGTGCGAATGACGTACGGGCAGCGAACTGTACGCGTAGACCTGCTACTCTGAGCGTACCACTCATGGAGCTGCTGGGACGTAAGTGTCTCGCGTGGACGCCGCTGCAGCTGCAGCTGGCCACTGCCAGACGCCCCCAACTGACCAGCTCCAGGGCGACAGCTACGACGGCTACCGCGACAGCCCCAACTAGTATACCACTCACTAAGCTGCTGGGGCGTGAGAGACTCGCGTGAACGTCGCTGGAGCTGCATCTGGCCACCTCCTAGTAGCAGGAGTAGCCGCAGCAGCTCGGGCAGGGCAGGCGCGGCAGGCAGGCAGGCAGGCCGGCAGGCAGGCAGGCAGACAGGCCGGCAGGCAGGCAGGCAGGCAGGCAGGCAGGCAGGCAAGCAGGCAGGCAGGCAGGCAGGCCGGCAGGCAGGCAGGCAGGCAGGCAGGTAGGCAGGCATGCACGCCGGCAGGCAGACAGCCAGGCAGACAGGCCGACAGGCAGGCAGGCAGGCAGGCAGGCAGGTGGGCAGGTAGGCATGCAGGCAGGCGGGCCGGCAGGCAGGCAGGCAAGCAGGCCGGCAGGCAGGCAGGCAGGCAGGCAGGCAGGCAGGCAGGCAGGCCGGCAGGTAGGCAGGCAGGCAGGCAGGCAGGCAGGCAGGCAGGCAGGCAGACAAGCCGGCAGGCAGGCAGGCAGGCGCTCACCAAAGGCTGGAAGAGCAGGCGTTCGCTGGGCGAGCAGGGCCGGCGCTCGGCGGGCGACGGCTGGGTCGCAACAGCGGCTGCAGAGTAGGGCCGCAGCAGCTGCAGAGGCAGAGTGGGGCCGCGTCAGCGGCAGGTCGGGGCCGCGGCAGCTGCAGGGCGGGGCCGCATCAGCGGCAGGTCGGGGCCGAGGCAGCTGCAGGGCAGGGCCGCATCAGCGGCAGGTCGGGGCCGAGGCAGCTGCAAGGCCGGGTCGCGGCAGCGGCAGGTCGGGGCCGAGGCAGCTGGAGGGCCGGGCCGCGGCAGCAGCAGGTCGGGGCCGCTTCCGCGGCCAGGCGGGTCTGCGTGAGCGGGGCGCGGGGCAGCAGCTGGCTGCGCGCGGGCGGCGCGGGCTCGGGGCGGGCTGCGGGAGGCAGCAGGGGGCTGCGCGGGGCAGCGCGCGGGGCTGCTGCGGGCCGCGCGAGGCAGCAGAGGGCTGCGCGCGGCTCGGGGCGGACTGCGCGGGCTGCGCACGGCAGCAGCGGGCTGCGCGCGGCTCGGAGCAGGCTGCGCGGGCTCGGTGCGGGCTGCGCGCGGCTCGGGACGGGCTGCGCGGGCTCGGCGCGGGCTGCGCGCGGCAGCAGCGGGCTGCGCGCGGCTCGGCGCGGGCTGCGCGGGCTCGGTGCGGGCTGCGCACGGCAGCAGCTGGCTGCACGCGGCTCGGAGCGGGCTGCGCGGGCTCGGTACGGGCTGCGCGTGGCTCGGGACGGGCTGCGCGGGCTCTTTGCGGGCCGCGCAGGGCGACGCGCGTGCAGGAAGGTGCGCGCGGGCTAACAGCAGACACTAGGCAGTAGGCAGCAAACAGCAGACAGTGTGCGTGACAGTCACAGTCACAGGCTCATTCGTGGGGTAGCGGTAGGTGGGCCCGAAAAAAAACGGTCCTACGGACCTACTGCTCTGAAACCATGTTAGAAACTAGAGACAGGAATGTCTGAACTAGCAGCATGCAGGAGTACAAGTAGTAAACCCTAATTGGGTTGTACCCCATATGGGCTACCCCACTACAGCTTACACAATATGCAGCATATATGTTTGACAAGCCTCACAACTGGAGCTGAGAACAGAAGACGAGCGAGTAGACCGCCAAGAAACAGGGCCATAGCCAAAGTTGAAAGTGTAACCCTGTGATGACCGCTGCGTAGCCAGGTCGTCAACCCAAGACGCGTCCGAGTGTCCAGTGAGGACAACCTCACCCCGTCCTCCAAGCACGAGCCCCATGCCCGATGTACTGCACAAGTAGCGCAACACCATCTTAGCAGCCTCCCAGTGCTCTCGCCGGTGTCTCCCAGGCGCAACGTAGCGAGCCAGGATGCTAAGGGGGTACGCAAGGTCAGGTCGAGTGTAGGAAATCAGGTATATGAGGCAGCCCACAAGCTCTGGATATGGGCCACTCGGCTCTACGGACTCATCCGAGGCGAACAGAAACTGGAAACTGATTCGAGGCGAACAACGAACGACTTCTTGTACCGGGTAACTCGTAAGACCAAGAGTTACGATCACCTTTATCTGTAGGAATGAGCTACCTTTGTTAGATCGGGTATGTTCCTATCCGTAAAAGGTGCAAACTACAGAAGGAACAACGGCTGCAAAGCTGCCTTCCAGCTTATTAGACTAGAAACTTGTTTGTAGAAAATAACAAGATAGAAATCTTGCATTGATCATTGAATTGTAGAATGATGCTGAAAAAGTGACACAGCTGGGTATTTATGCATCCATCTAACCCTCCCAGAATGGCCCATTCTCGCCAATAATTGTGTACCAATAATTCTACCCTCTACCCTCCAATAATTGTGGCCCTACAATAATTGTGACAATTATTGTAGGCCCTGGAGGCTTATAACGAGGGCTACACTAAAACCGAACAGCATAGTATACAGTATTCGTGATACTGTATTCAGATTTCCAACAACTTTGACTACCTTGGAACCTGGCATCTATCTGAGCAAACTCCTCTTCCATGCTTCTCATGGGTTTGGACCTCCTGCATCTGCCTGTCCACCTCCTCCGCAGCAGCGTTCCTGTTAGAACCCCCTAACTCCGCCATCACCGCACTCAAACCAGGTCTAAGCGAGCGTACGAGTCACTTTGACTACCTTGGAACCGGGCATTTATCCGGGCAAACTCCTCTTCCATGCTTCTCGCGGGTTCAAACTCCTCCATCTGCCTGTCCACCTCCTCCGCCGCTGTATTCCTCTTAGACCCCCCCAACTCAGCCATCACCGCACTCAGCTCTGCAGCGATTGTGCCCATGTCCGGCCGGGCGGCAGTGCGCCTGGCAGTGCAGCGCAGCGCCAGCCGCACCACAGCCAGCACGAGGTCGTCCCGAGCTTCCATGCGCGGGTCCTTGAGGCTTGAGGGGGCTGGGCTGTCGTTGGATTGTTGTAGCTGCTGCTCCACCTGATGGGATGAGGATTGGGAACAGGATCACGGAGGCAGAGGCAAGAGCTTGAAGGGAACAAGCCAAACAGGCACAAAATGAGGAGCAGATCACACCCAGCTCTGCTGCAATTGTGCCCATGTCCGGCCGGGCGGCAGTGCGCCTGGCAGTGAACCGCAGCGCCAGCCGCACCACTGCCAATAGGAGGTCCTCCCGTGCTTGCATGCGCGGGTCGCTAAGGCCTGGGGCTGGGCCGTTGCCGGATTGTTGGAGCTGCTGCTCCACCTGATGGGATGAAATACAGGGATCATGGAGGCAGCGATGTACCGAATCAGGAGTTTGAAGGGACCAAGACAGAAAAGCACAACATGGGGAGCACATCACTCCAGTTCCGCCATCACTGTGCCCATGTCCGGGTGGGCGGCAGTGCGCTTGGCAGTGCATCGCAGCGCCAGCTGCACCACGGCCAGCACAAGGTCGTCCCGTGCTTCCATGCGCGGGTCGCTGAGGCCTGGGGCTGGCCCGTTGCCGGATTGTTGGAGCTGCTGCTCCACCTGATGGGATGAAATACAGGGATCATGGAGGCAGCGATGTACAGAATCAGGAGTTTGAAGGGACCAAGACAGAAAAGCACAACATGGGGAGCAGATCACTCCAGTTCCGCCATCACTGTGCCCATGTCCGGGCAGGCGGCAGTGCGCTTGGCAGTGCATCGCAGCGCCAGCTGCACCACGGCCAGCACAAGGTCGTCCCGTGCTTCCATGCGCGGGTCGCTGAGGCCTGGGGCTGGCCCGTTGCCGGATTGTTGGAGCTGCTGCTCCACCTGATGGGATGAAATACAGGGATCATGGAGGCAGCGATGTACAGAATCAGGAGTTTGAAGGGACCAAGACAGAAAAGCACAACATGGGGAGCAGATCACTCCAGTTCCGCCATCACTGTGCCCATGTCCGGGCGGGCGGCAGTGCGCTTGGCAGTGCATCGCAACGCCAGCTGCACCACGGCCAGCACAAGGTCGTCCCGTGCTTCCATGCGCGGGTCGCTGAGGCCTGGGGCTGGCCCGTTGCCGGATTCCTGGAGTTGCTGCTCCACCTGATGGCATGGAGAGGAAGGTTTGGGGAAGTTAGAAATTAAGAAACTATGGGCTGAGGGCAGCCGCACCTCGGCCAATAGAAAATCCTCCCGTGCTTTCATTCCATGGGGGTGTGCTTGAGGCTTGGTTCTGGGTTCTGGGCCATTGCCGCATCGTTGGAGCTGCGGCTGCACCGGATGTGGTGGAAGTCGAGAAATGAGGGTTTTGCCAGCAAAGGGTTGGAAAGACACAAGACGAGCAACTAGTCACACGGAAAATGATGCTTAAGGAGCCTAAAACGACGAGCAACTCACTCGGGATACGATGGTCATGGGCCAGTTAGCCTCCTCGTCATCTGTGCTTGTAAAGAGCCATTTCTCTGCAGTGGGCTGCGTTGCGCGGCCACACTTGTACCTGTTAGCCAAAAAATAGGACCTGAATACTAGCAACTCACCCAGGATACGATGGTCATGAAGCAGCTGGTGGTCTCCTGATCAGCACCGGGGGACACCACTTTTCACCACCTAGAATTCAGGTGCAACACTCGCAACTCACCCAGGATACGATGGTCACAGGGCAGTTGGCCCCTGATCAGCAGTGAATGGAATTCGTTGCAAAGCATGGATGCGGTTCTATAACTTTGCTACATCGGAAGAACAGCAACTCACCCAGGATACGATGGTCACGGGGCAGTTGGGCTCTTCGTCGGCCCCAGGGGCTAGCGACTCTTGCACGGCTGCCCGCCCCGTCATTAGCTCCAGCATCACCACGCCGAAGCTGCACATGCAGGCACGAGAGTGCAAGCACGTGGAAGCAACACTTCTGATTCGACTCAAAAGTCACCTCGTTACGAGAGAATGCAAGCACGTGGAAGCAACCTTGAAGCGAGAAATCTGGATGCAAAACGTGAGTGGAGGACGGGTCAGGCCCTTTGTTGATTTTCTCCCAGATCCAGCGGCATCCCCCCCCTCCACGTGTTCCATTTGGATCAGCTCACAACATCAAGTGAGAAAAATTACTTTCAGGCCAATTTCCTGACCGGAGTGTAACGCTGTTGATCACGTGCAAGCCATTGCTCACCTGCAAGCCATTGCTCACCTGTATACATCTGCAGCGGTGGTGGCCTTATTGGAAGCAGCATATGCGGGATCCACATAGCCTGGTGTTCCCACCACTCGCGTGGTCTGCAGTGCCGTGCCCTCCCCCATCCTCACCAGCCCAAAGTCTGAAATCTTCGCCTGCAAATGATGCGCATTGCATGCCAATGTATGGGAGAAGCAAGTACATAGCATGTGAACATAAGGACATGTGGCAGACAACTGGTTGACGTAACTTGAGTTTGAGTCAGCTCAAAATACGTCCGTAGCACACTTGGTGAAAATGGTGAAAATGTGGCAGAGAACTTGGTTGATGCATCTCGCATACTCACGTATGCACACGCACATACCGAAATGCAGACACTCACACATCCACATGCGCACGCACGAATGCACAGACCCTCACATCCACCTTACCCACCCATACACGAACCCTCACACCCACCCATGCACCAACCCACGCACACACCCGGGTGCGCACACACACATGCAGGCACATGCACACTTACACGCACGCGCACACACACACCCCCCCCCCCCCCCCCCACACACACACACACACACACACACACACCTGTATGTTCCCATCCAGCAGGATATTTGCAGGCTTGATGTCGCGGTGCAAAGTGCCAAAGCTATAAAGGGACTGGAAGCCCCCCCTCCCCCTCACACACACACACCCACACATTCAAACACGCACCAGCATTTTCCCATTGAGCAATATGTTAGCAGGCTTGATATCGCGGTGCACGATGCCAAAGCTGTGCAGGTACTCAAAGCCCCGAGCAGCTCCTATCAGGATGTCCACCCGCTGCTGGAAGGTCAGCGGCGTGGGCGCGTCTGGAGGGCACACACATGTGATGGGGATGGGTGGGGTGAAAGGGAAGAAAATAAAGGAAAGCATGGAGTGGATACGTGTGTTCTCATGAATATTTTTATACATCAGAGACTGCATCACTAAACAATAATAAGGATGTGGATGGTCAGGTGAAATAAAAGGGGATGGAAGGGAACCGTGGAGTAGATAAGTATGTGAGCTCATGTTTTGTTCGCTCAGAAATGAAAACACTTTCTCAGTCCACACCTTTTCCGACCCGCGCACTTCCCAAACCACAATTCCGATCCACACTCTTCCCAGAGCACTCCCTTCCCAAACCAAACCTTTCTCGCTGTAGCGAAGGCCTTGTTGGTTTTGAATCGATTCAGCATACTATGCACGGCATTTTCAGAATGATAATAAAGAGGATGAACACCCTCACCAGTCTGCACCTTTCCCCATCCAGCGTGAGAGGTCCCCGTGGGGCGTGAGCTTGTACATAAGGACCTGCTCCCCCCTGGTCTTGTCCGTGATGCCAACTGTGTGCTTTCAGCCAGTTCAAAACACACCTGTTTATTCAACTCAAAGCACGAGCCACACCCTTGCCCATACACACACCTTTGCCCATCCAGTGTGAGAGGTCCCCATTGGGCATGAGCTCGTATATGAGCACCTGCTCCACCCTGGTCTTGTCCGTGATGCCAATGGCGAATCCCAACAGGCGCACCAGGTTGGGGTGGTGCTTCGAGGCCATTTGGCACACCTGTAGGAGGGGCCGGCCGTGGAGAAAATTTAAGGTACTCTCATCTGTCGGGGTGATGCCAATGGCGAATTTCAGCAGTCGCACCAGGTTGGGGTGGTGCTTCGAGGCCATCTGGCACACCTTCCATGGGGGCCAAGCAGTGGAGGAAAGAGGATCTCATGATTGAGAGGATCTCATGATTGAGAGGATCTCATGATTGAGAGGATCTCATGATTGAGAGGATCTCTTGATTGAGAGGATCTCTTGATTGAGAGGATCTCTTGATTGAGAGGATCTCTTGATTGAGAGGATCTCTTGATTGAGAGGATCTCTTGATTGAGAGGATCTCTTGATTGAGAGGATCTCTTGATTGAGAGGATCTCTTGATTGAGAGGATCTCTTGATTGAGAGGATCTCTTGATTGAGAGGATCTCTTGATTGAGAGGATCTCTTGATTGAGAGGATCTCTTGATTGAGAGGATCTCATGATCCTACGGAATTTGTAGTCGACTCAGAGTCACCTGCTGGTTGAGGTGGTGCTTAGTGGCTGGCCATTTGACACACCTGTGAGGGGGCGGCAGTGGAGGAAAGAGGATCTCATGATCCTACGGAATCTTTAGTGGACTCAGAGTCACCTGCTGGTTGGGGTGGTGCTTAGTGGCTGGCCATTTGACACACCTGCCAGGGGCAGCGGTGGAGGAAAGATGGGACACTCTCATCTCATCATCTCACATTCTCTTTGACTCAGAGCCAGCCTTGTCCGTGATGCCTATGGCGAACCCCAGCAGTCGCACCAGGTTGGGGTGGTGCTGAGTGGCCATTTGACACACCTGCGGGGGGGCCAAGCGGTGGAGGAAAGATTGCATGCTCGTATGATCCGTTGCTCGTCTTGTCACCATCTAGTCGTGCCGACTCTTGAGTCGACTCAAAAGTCAGCTCCGTTGCTCGTCTTGTCACCATCCAGTCGTGCCAACGTTACCATAATTTTTGTTGACTGGTCTTGTGACATGATTTCTATGCGACCTGCAGGCTTAGTTCGTTACCAAACCTCTTGCTGACTCGAGTCGAGAGTATCGGTGTAAATTGTAAGGGGCACGGTGGGAAGGGCCTTTAGAACTGCATCACATCACACACCCACCCACATGCTCACTCACTCTCGCACTCCTCTGTGTCAGTCAAGTCGTTGGTGATGAGATGAGCTTGGCGTGCTTCACATCCCACGCGTGGAGCCATCAGCACGAGTGGGCATTTGCAGAGCCACACCTCTCCGCACCACACCGCACCGCACCACACCGCACCACGCACCTCGGTGTCAAGTCGTTGGTGATGAGATGAGCTTGGCGTGCTTCACATCCCACGCGTGGAGCCATCAGCACGAGTGGGCATTTGCAGAGCCACACCTCTCCGCACCACACCGCACCGCACCACACCGCACCACGCACCTCGGTGTCAAGTCGTTGGTGATGAGATGAGCTTGGCGTGCTTCACATCCCACGCGTGGAGCCATCAGCACGAGTGGGCATTTGCAGAGCCACACCTCTCCGCACCACACCGCACCGCACCACACCGCACCACGCACCTCGGTGTCAAGTCGTTGGTGTTGAGATGAGCTTGGCGTGCTTCACATCCCACATCGTGGAGCCATCAGAGAGAGAGACCGTTTGTGGCGCCTCAAAAGACACCTCGACACATCCACATCCGGACCACACCACACCCACTCACAAACAGCCGCACACCTCGGTGTCAAATTCGTTGGTGATGGGCTTGGCGCGCTTCACAGCTCACAGAATGCTGCCAATCAGCAGCAGAGGACGCTTACAACGCCTCAAAAGGCACTGCACTGCACCACACTGGACCACACCACATCATACCACACCACTCACCTCAGTGTCAAAGTCGTTAGTAATGAGCTTGGCGCGCTTCACAGCCCACAGGGTGGTGCCATCAGCAGGAGACACAGCACGGTACACGTCCCCAAACGCGCCCCTGCCCAGCAGGTTCTCCTCGCTCCACCCATTGGTCGCCTTCACCACCTGCTGCAGTGGGTATTCCTGGCACGCCTGTGACGCTGCCCTGCTGCTCATTAAGACTGGTGCTGGGAGCAAATGGAAGGGAGGTGGAGGAAAGGGTGGTAGTTGTAGGTGATTAGGAGCACTGCTAGGGACCTTGTTTGGGCCCCTGCCCAGCAGATTATCCTCACTTCACCCGTTGGTCGCCTTTAATACCTGCTGCAGTGGGTATTCCTGGCACGCCTGTGACGCTGCTCTGCTGCTCATTAGGGCTGGTGAGAGAGGAAGGAGAAAGGGAGGCAAAAAGGGGGGTTGGAGCACCAGGGGGCTTGTTTGGGTCTTTTGAGACGTCCCAAAACCACACTTCTACCACGCGGCTTGTTTGGGTCCCTGGCCAGAAGATTCGCCTTCGCCTCGCTCCACCCGCCAGTCGCCCTCCCTACGCCTGCGATCTGCCTTGCTGCTCAGCAGTGCTAGTGAGAGAGCAAGGGGAAGTGGCGGCAGGAGGTGAAGAGAGAGGGAGAGGAGAAGGAGAGGCGAGTGGGGGAGAGGGAGAGGCAAATAGTGGATACAGAGAGGCAGGTAGAGGATAGGGAAAGGCAAGGTACGGGATAGGAGAGGCAATCAGTGGATAGGGAGAGACAGGTGGGGGATAGGGTGACGCAGGTACCGACAAGGGAGAGGGAGCTACAGACAAGAGAGAGAGAGGTAGAGACAAGGAAGAGAGAGTTACAGACAAGAGAGAGACATGTGGAAGACAGTGCAATACGGGTAATAGAGAAAAAAATGTAGGTGGAAGAGAGGTAGAGGGAGGTGGGAAAGAGGGAGACGGATTTGGAGAGAAGGAAAGACAGGTGGAAGAGAGTAAGGAGCATGCGGGGGAGAGGAAGAGGGAGCTAGAGGAGTTAAGGTCAAAGCTGAAAGAGGCGGAATGCAAGGCAGCTGATGCACTAGATATTGTAATCACAGGCCATTACAATGTCTAGTGCATCAGCTGCCTTGCATTCCGTCTCTTTCAGCTTTGACCTTAACTCCTCTAGCTCCCTCTTTCTCTCCCCTGCATGCTCCTTACTCTCTTCCACTTGCCTTTCCGCTTGCAGTAGAAGAGCCAGACCCAGCCCAGAGCAACAGCATACACAGCAACCACGGCACGGCCCCAACGATCGTTCCCACAGACACTCCCGCCTTCCTCCACTCTGGCTTTCCCTGGTTGCCTGTAGTGTGCTGTGCACTGCGCTCAGTACCTTTCTCTTGCCGTTTGTTGGAGCAGCAGTAGTAGAGGATTAAAGCCAGGCCCAGGAGAGCAGCACAGGCGGCAACCACAGCCCCGACGATCGCTCCCACAGACACTCCCGCCTTCCCCTGGTTGGCTGCAGGCGGGGCAGGCAGCTGGGACTTGTCGCCTGCAAAGCAAATACACGAGAGAGAACGTGCAACCACGTTAGCGTGTTCTCTCGGCACACTCGGTGACTGGTTGGGGTGACTGGGTGGGGTGAATGGGTGGGGTGACTGGGTGGGGTGACACTCACATGAAGTGCAGAAGTCAGCGCAGGTGTGGCAGAAGCCATTAGACGGATTTTGGGGCACACTGCAGCTGCTGTAGCGGTCAGGGCACGCGAGAGAGGTGTTGCTGTTGGAACTGATTTGATGGGGGGCATGGGGCAGGCAGGGTATGGGGACTCTTGAGGCGCCTCAAAAGAAACGTTTTGAGGCACACCGCAGCTGCTGTAGCGGTCAGGGCACGCGAGGGAGGGACGCACATGCGCTCATTGCATCACCATAATTCAATCCCTTTCAAGCAGGAAGCTCATTGCCTGCTCCACCTCACTCCAAGCCACTCCACTCCGCTCCACCCCACTCCACCCCATTGAAACACGTGTGCGACAAGTTACTCCCCTTCAAGCAGCAATCGCGATTTTCATGTGGAAGGATAACTGCGCAGTGTGCCGTATGGTGTGTGCTGTGTGCTTTGCGGTGTACAGTGTGCTGTGTGGTGTGCAGTTCGTTCTAGAGCACTCACAGCGTCGAGAGGTTGTTCAGGCCTCCAAACGAGGGGGAGATGGTTCCTTGCAGCTTGTTAAAGGCCACGTCTCTGTGCCGCATGGGAGGCAAGGGAGGCAAGGGAGGCATGGGGGGAAAGTGGGGGGAAAGGGGGGCAAAGGGGACTCAGAGGCCTTGTTATTCGAGTCAAAAGCCTTTCCACTTCCAGAGGAGGGGGAGATGGTTCCTTGTAGCTTGTTAAAGGCCACGTCTCTGTGCCGCATGGGAGGCATGAGAGGCAAGGGAGGCTCAGAAGCCTTGTTAGTCGAGTCAAGAGTCTTCTCGCTGCTAAAGGAGGGGGGGACGGTTCCTTGCAGCTTGTTAAAGGCCACGTCTCTGTGCCGCATGGAAAGCAAGGGCGACCCGGAAGCTTGTTGCTAAGGATCATGAAAAACCAGCTAGATTTTTGGTGTCACACGGTTGGAAAAAACGGAGGTGCGGAAGCTATGAGCTGCGGGGAAAGTGCTGTTGTTTCAAGGGCGGCACGGCGGAATTGTGGAGCGATGGGGACGGTGAGACAAAAGCATTGTGGTGAAAAGCTGGGGGGAGATTGTGAGAGACAGGAAGACGATTAGGCTTTAGTTTTGCCAGTGGACGCAACTTGATGGCACGTGGGGGCGGGCATAAATGTATGTATTGTGGTGTGGTATGGGCAAGGTACATGAGACGAGTGTGCAAATCTTCATGACAAGACGAATAGGATTTCCAGCAAGATTAGTAACGGCAGGACAATGTAAATGAAATAATTTTATTGAGGCAGCAGCGACAGCAGCATATGAGGGCTAGGGGAGCAGCAGCATATGAGGGCTAGGGGAGCAGCAGCATATGAGGGCTATGGGAGCAGCAGCATATGAGGGCTATGGGAGCAGCAGCAAAAGAGGCAGGAGCGCCTTTGCACATGGGGAAAGCTCCATGACGCAACACATAAGCAGTTAAAGTGACAGAGAGGGGTGAAAGGGACTCACAGGGTAACCAAGGAGGTCATGGTTGTGAGGGATTCAGGGAGAGGACCAGTGAGCTGGTTGTGAGAGAGGTCCCTGTAGTGAATAGAGCGCGGTGGATGGGCGGCATACGATAACCTTTGAGGCACCTCAGAAGCTGAACTAGTTGTGAGAGAGGTCCTTGTGTTGATGATGGCAAGGTGGAAGACATGTGCATGGTATGACAGAGAGGCATGCACGTAGCATGAAGGGCTTATGCAACCAGAGCCTGAGCAAGTGCAGCAGCCGCTAAAGAAGCAACAAATTCTGCAGCTGCAACAGAACCATCTAATCTCGAAGGCGTTCTAATTGACAATTATGGCAAGATTTTTTCGACGGTACACGTGTCATCGAAGCAGAAACCTGGGAGGGAGCACAAAACTTGAGTGGAGGGGTGCACATGGTCTGGTATAACTTGTGTGCTCCGCACAAAAGAGCCGGCATGTTCACCATCACGCGGATGATTTTTTAGTGTGCTCCTTTCCACCCAAGTCCGAAGCTTCCTTCCCGGTTTCTGCTTCGCTGACATGTGTACCATAAAAAAATCTTGTCATTATTGTCAATCGGAACGCTTTCGACATTCGGTCTTTAGTGGCTGTTGCACTTGCTCGGGCTCTGATTGCACGCATGACATATGTCCCGGCTGCTGCTCGGCAGCATGCCTCACAGCAAGCAAGCACCCTACAATATTCTACTCTGGAAAATAATCCGCTGCCACGTAAAGGCATGACCTCCAAGTGGGGTCCCTTCCCTTCAACGTGCATAGCAGGTGCAATGCATGGCAGATGGAGTGCATGGCAGATGGAGTGCGTGGCAGGTGGAGTGCATGGCAGGTGGAGTGCATGGCAGGTGGAGTGCATGGCAGGTGGAGTGCATGGCAGGTGGAGTGCATGGCAGGTGGAGTGCATGGCAGGTGGAGTGCATGGCAGGTGCAGTGCATGGCAGGTGCAATGCATGGCAGGTGCAATGCATGGCAGGTGCAGTGCATGGCAGGTGGAGTGCATGGCAGGTGGAGTGCATGGCAGGTGGAGTGCATGGCAGGTGGAGTGCATGGCAGGTGGAGTGCATGGCAGGTGGAGTGCATGGCAGGTGGAGTGCATGGCAGGTGGAGTGCATGGCAGGTGGAGTGCATGGCAGGTGGAGTGCATGGCAGGTGGAGTGCATGGCAGGTGGAGTGCATGGCAGGTGGAGTGCATGGCAGGTGGAGTGCATGGCAGGTGGAGTGCATGGCAGATGCAGTGCATGGCAGTGTCCCGACTGCCCCCTCCAAGGCGTTTCCTACGCACAGGGACGTAAGGCTGGTGCCCGGGAGTCCGTCGGAGTGCAGAGCTTTGGAGCTCAGGTTTCTGCTACCGTGCATGCTTCCTGATTCTGTGACTGTGCACATTCCATGCCACCAACTCTTTGTAAATTCTCGACTGCTCCAACGCTACTCACAGGGACGTGAGGCTGGTGAGCTTGCTCAGGTCTTGGAGCCGGTCAGACTGCAGTGCGTTGGAGCTCAGATTGCTGCCATGCGGAGGGTGGGAGGGAGAGTAAAAGGGGGAATGGAGGGGTGTGGGAGAGCACCGGGAGCGTGCATACAAAGCGACGGAGAGAGCGCGCATGCACGTGCACGTGCACATGCACATGCGCATGCATAAGTGCACACAAGGAGCTATGCCCCGCTTGCTTGCGTGACTCTGCAACCGGTATCAGAATACAAACGATGGGGAATCGTACAGTTGCTGTAGCTTGGCGTAGTCCAGCCCTTGAAGCGGTGACAGGTCTGAGACACCGTTAGACGGCAACTCCCTGGAGAGTAGCGAGAAAGGCCAAGGCGAAGAATGAGGGGAAGGAAACGCAGCAAGGAGAGGCAGAAGGAGCACAGAAGGGAAGACGGCGGCCTTAGATGCAGGGGTGTAGAAGGGTCAAAGGACCGAAGTGGGGCTGAGGGTGGGGCACACACTGGCTTGTGTGGGGGGCACACTTGTGTGGGGGCAAGGGTCTGGGAACCGGCAGGTGTGCGGTGTGGAGAGTGCATGAGAGGGCAGTGCGTGTGGGACATGCGTGTGGTTCTTGCATGTGGCGCATCAGTGCGTGAGGCGCGTGCACATGAGGGCCGTGCTTACACATCCACGAGGCTGGTGAGAGAGCTGAGCACTGAAGGCACCATTGCTGCCCATGCGATGAGGAGTGTGTGGAGGTGTGCACGTGGGGAGTGCATGTGATGAGTGCATGAGAGCAGTGCTTACACATCCACAAGGCTGGTGAGTGAGCTCAGCACCGAGAAGGCACCATTGGTGCCCATGCCGCAGTCCTTCACTCTCCTGCACGCCACCACATAACAGGGAGGGGAAGGAAGCATTTCTTAATAACCAACAAGGCACTATGCGTGCACATGCCACGAGGCTGGTGAGAGAGCTGAGCATGGAGAAGCCGCCATTGGTGCCCATGCCGCAGTCCTTCACTCTCCTGCACGCCACCGCAGGTGAGGCAAGCAGGGAAGCGTTAGAGCTTTGAATAAGTGCTTGGGCCAGCAAGAATCAGCAGGAAGGCAGCCATGACATGCTCCATGCCATCCATGCCATGACATGCTCCATGCCATCCCATGCCATGACATGCTCCATGCCATGCCATGCCATGCCTTGCCTTCATGTAACAGATGGACCAACTTGCTCAAACTGTGTAAGCACGCAATGGTGTCGCATGGCATTTCTTGGAATGCATGCCGTCAAGCATGCATGCCGACAAGCAAGTACACACCGTGTTCGCTCAAAAGCACGCGTTCAAATAGCAATGGCGCATGCAATGGCGCATGCATGCAGCGGCGTACAGTCTGGTGAGCTGCGCGAGGTTGGAAATGGTGGAAGGAAAGGTCTCTGCAACGCCACCCGGAACACACTCCACTGACCTGCACAGGCACAACATGCACATGCAAAAGCACATACGCATGCACATGCACAAGCACATGCACATGCACATGCAAAAGAACACGCACAAGCACATGCACATGCACATGCAAAAGCACATCCACGTGCACATGCATGGAGTAAACCGAATGCATGAGTACTTTTGATGCGCGCGAACAAAATAATCTTTCCTTCATAGGCTCCTCAAAGCACGAGGTGCACACTTGGCAAGGAAAGCACGTAATATGCACGCTGCAAGAACACTGTTACTCAGATTAATGTCATACAAAATAGAAAGAAACATCAGAATGAGCAAGAAAACTGGCTTATCTGCCCCCCCCTGTGGCCCAGTCTAACTAGGCAAGCGCCCTCCCATACGCTCTGTGGGCCCAACCTATTTGCCCCCTACTCACTTTATGCGTCAACTAGTAAACGCCCTCCTCGCTTGCGTTGGCCACAACACGTGCCCCTACTCCCACAAGGACTCACAGCGACTTGAGCCATGTGATGCTGTAGAGTGGGTTGTATGGAAAATCGATGACTCCGTAGAAGCTCCTGCGTCGTGGAGATGAATGAAGTGACACAGAAGGTCAGAAGAGAGAGCAAGCGGAGCACAACGCAAGCCGATCACAAGACAAACAACTTCCATTCCAGGAATGGTGCGATGGTGGGTGGTGGTGTGGGTGGTGGAGGCGATGACACACACACACATGTACATGCACACACATACACACATGTACATGCACACACACACACACACACACACACACACACATGTACATACACACACACACACACACACATACACACACACACACACACATATACACACACACACACACACACACACACACACACATGTACATGCACACACACACATGTACATGTACACACACACGTACACACTTACAGCTCCGTGAGGCGAGTAAGGCGCGTGACATTAACCGTGGGAAAGGATGGTGTCATAAGCCGGGAGAATTGCCTGGGGCGATGATGATGGGGCGATGATGATGGGGATGTAGAGGGAACACATGAAAGAGTGAAGACGGTTCCAAGAACACCTGAAAGAGTGAAGACGGTTCCAAGAACACCTGAAAGAGTGAAGACGGTTCCAAGAACACACGAAAGAGTGAAGACGGTTCCAAGAACACCTGAAAGAGTGAAGACGGTTCCAAGAACACCTGAAAGAGTGAAGACGGTTCCAAGACCACCTGAAAGAGTGAAGACGGTTCCAAGAACACCTGAAAGAGATAAGACGGTTCCAAGAACACCTGAAAGAGTGAAGACGGTTCCAAGAACACCTGAAAGAGTGAAGACGGTTCCAAGAACACATGAAAGAGTGAAGACGGTTCCAAGAACACCTGAAAGAGTGAAGACGGTTCCAAGAACACATGAAAGGCTGAAGACGGTTCCAAGAACACATGAAAGAGTGAAGACGGTTCCAAGAACACCTGAAAGAGTGAAGACAGTTCCAAGAACACATGAAAGAGTGAAGACGGTTCCAAGAACACATGAAAGAGTGAAGACGGTTCCAAGAACACATGAAAGAGTGAAGACGGTTCCAAGAACACATGAAAGAGTGAAGACGGTTCCAAGAACACATGAAAGAGTGAAGACGGTTCCAAGAACACATGAAAGAGTGAAGATGGTTCCAAGAACACATGAAAGAGTGAAGACGGTTCCAAAAACACATGAAAGAGTGAAGACGGTTCCAAAAACACCTGAAAGAGTGAAGACGGTTCCAAGAACACCTGAAAGAGTGAAGACGGTTCCAAGAACACCTGAAAGAGTGAAGACGGTTCCAAGAACACCTGAAAGGGAGAAGACGGTTCCAAGAACACCTGAAAGAGTGAAGACGGTTCCAAGAACACCTGAAAGAGTGAAGACGGTTCCAAGAACACCTGAAAGAGTGAAGACGGTTCCAAGAACACATGAAAGAGTGAAGACGGTTCCAAGAACACCTGAAAGAGTGAAGACGGTTCCAAGAACAAACGAAAGGGTGAAGACGGTTCCAAGAACACCTCAGACACACTTAAGCGTGAAGAAAACGGTGGGTGGCAGTTTGTTGTGCTGAAGCCCCTGGCCTGGCGAGCCCTCGAGGGTGCTTGAGATGTGTTCTCAGAAGCGTTTTAAAATTCGGAATGAGGATCATTGATAGGAGAACAAGAAGAAGAAGAAGAAAAAAAAAAAAAAGGAGAAAGCTCGAACGAACATGGAGGTGATGCTGCCTGCTTTGTCGCACGTGACGCCAGCCGCGCCCCTGCAGTCCCCTCCAGGGAACCACCCCATGAACTCCCCACGTTGCATGCGAGAATCCACAAACAAAGGTGCGACATACATGGAGGTGATGCTGCCTGTCTTATCTCGCGTGAGGCCAGCCGCGCCCCTGCAGTCCCCTCCGGGAAACCACCCCGTGAACTCGAACCCTCACGTTGCATTCGTAGAGGTTCACAAAGCCCCAGGTTCACGAAAAGGTGCGGACTTACATGGAGGTAACGCTGCCCGCCTGATCGCACGTGAGGCCAGCCGCAACCCTGCAGTCCCATCCAGGACCCCAGTTTGTGAAGTTGATTTTCCACGCACTCTGCAGCTCCTCCAGCACCGCACCTGGACATTTCCGGGATGGGCCAATCGCAGCAGCACACGCGGCAGGCGCGCGTGTGGATGATATCGGAGTGGTGAGTGAGGGGCATCGGACAAACAAACAGGTCATCGGGCTGTGCGGCAGTGGCGAATGGTGGCAAGACTCTTGCCGAAGTCGTGAGTTTCGCTTAGAGGGAAGCAGAGATTAAAGCAGTGGCATTGAGACAAAGCAAGCGGGCACACAGGGAAGTTGAAAGAGAATAGACAGTGTAGAGAAACGATGATAGAAGACTTTGATGTTTGGTGACTGTTGAGATCTGATTGCTGGTTCGATGAGCACGAGCACGAGGTGAAAGAATCCGCCTCTGTTTAGCTAGCGCCACAGAATTAACTTGGCGAGCTAGAGGCAGAGCCTAGGATCGATACGACGGGCTCGGAGCAACGAAGCAGTAGCACTTTGAATCACTGAAAACGCCCGAGAATTGAGAGAGAACTTGCTTATAATATGGAGATGGGTACACAAGTCTTGGAAGGCATGAACTCTCTGTTTCCTCTCTGGAATTTATATCTAAAACATGCAATCTCAATTGTAACATCGAACCGCGCGCGACTCGCGGAAATTTGGACTTGGGACGTCGAATTTCCGCGACCTCCGCGCTCACATGTTCGGACCTTGCCGAGTTCATTTCAACACACCAAATGCGTGTGTTACACGAAGTGGTAGCGAGTGTAGCGAATGGTTCAAAACCTTCGCTAGAACTCTCGCTATTTTCGTGAGAGCTTGTGGGGCTGCCAAGTGTAGCCCCCACAAAGTTTCGGACCCAACCGGGTGAACTTTGGTAAGTACATCGCAGCTCCACAGTTTCAAAAATATCTCAATTTTGATCCCGAGTTTACCCAAAAAGTCCAGCTTTGCGGAATTCTGCTCACGCGAGGCCCAAAGTATGTTCAAAACTGGTCCTGCGGGGCAGAAATTACGACACGTGTCGATTTCGTGCAAGGTTTTTTATACGGGGCAAACCAAACATAATACCCCTGGGGAAACGGGACACAATTTGGGTAATATATTGCACTGCCTGCGTAAGCAGGCAGTGCAATCGAGTCAGCAAGCTGACCGCGGGCAAGAAAAAAACTAAAACCCTCTCGGATGGGATGCCATCCGAGGGAGCCTCAACCCTAAAATTTTAGGGTTGATGCTCCCGAATGGCATGCCGTAAGCCAAGGGGTTTAATTTTTGCCCGCGGGATACATTTCGGGAGGGATCAACCCTAAACACCGGGCGGGTTCCCGTGTTTAGGGTTGATCCCTCCCGAACAAGTGTCCTGGTTTCCCCAGGGGTATTATTGTTTTTGTGCCCCGTCAAAAATTGTTGGTGTGAAATAGACACGTGTCAATATTTGAGCCCTACAGGACCAGTTTTGAACATAATTTGGGCCTCGCGTGAGCCAAATCCCAGAAAGTGGGACCTTTCGAGTAAACCTGGGGGTAAATATGAGAGAAATCTGAAAGTAAGGATCTAGGATATAGTTTCCCGTTGCGTGGCGACGCGGACAATCCGCCGTCACCCCAACCTTCCGTGAAAACACCCCCCCTTGGTCCGAGTCAAGGGGGGTCTTAGCGTGGGGGGCAATCCCGTCCCCCACACTTCCAACACGAGGAGCATGAGCATGAGCATGAGCATGAGCATGAGCTCATGAACATGACTATTTCAACTCATTCGTCGTTGAATCCCCACGAACCATTTCAACTCATTCGTCGAATTTTCACGAGGACTTGCTATACTTTCATCATCCCTGGCGTACCGTTGGATTCCGAGATGATCAGTGCGACCGCCGTCGTTTGATGCGCCTCAAGACTTCCCCGGGGCCATGACACCTTATACTATAATTAATAGAAGTATTAGTAGCAGTGATCCCTTCATCCCGGCGGGCGTACCATCGGATTCCAAGATTATCTGTGCGACGGCCGTACCGTCTTTTAGGCGCCGCAAGAATCCCCGGGAGAGATTTGACCTTAGGGTTATTGAATAGTAGCAGCGACCCCTGACGTACCATCAGAATCCGAGACGCTCTGTGCGACGGCCGTCTGCGGCACGAGGCATGCGGCGATTACCGCGACGAACGCGAGCGACGCGACGCTGAATGCGAGCACGGAGCCACCGCCGCCACGGTCGACGAGGCCTCTAAGCATCGTCAAGATGCGTGTGTCAGCCACGCGCAGTCCTCGAGGCAGCGACTCTCTGGTTTGCGCCGCAGGGAATCGGTATCCAGCGAGCCTACAACGCCTCGCCGCTACCCACTGGGTCAAAACACGAGGGTGCTATTCTGGCGGAATGCCCTTAACACAGCCCAGAGGCGTTACAGAGTCGCAGCCTGCCTTGGCAGCGTTACAACCAGTGGATCTGCCGAAATCAATCGGGCCACACTATGGCATAGACTGACGGCGGTCGCAGCTCAAAAGCACTCGGACGAACACGGCTTTTCCATGAGGCAGCAGAGCTGACAATGAGCATCGGGTGCCTAGCTGTTCCCAGGAACACGGTTTTCCTAGCGGCTTCCTCAACGGAACACACTAGCGGTTTCATTGGGTGCGGTGCGGAGCGGAGTTTCTTGTCCGAGCTCACACTCGTTCCAGCAGTCACCCAGCGTCGCGCGAGTTGTGGCATTGCGACTGACGATAATTGTGGTGGTGAATGGCAAAATAGTACCGCTGCTCTGCTCAGCTCAACCATAATTGTGGTGGTGAATGTGCTTTTGTGCGTCTCGCAGCGGTTCTTTTGAGATTCTTCACGTTTGGGTGAGGTTTCGAGCATCAAATGCGAATGACGTGCCGCTCCGATCGAGGTTCTTCCAGCCGACGTGCTTGATTAGTTTCTCCGGCAAACCCGCATGCCACCAATTCCCGCCCAAACAGGGTTGCTGGTGTGTGCATGGCTGTTCTGACACCTGACTAGAGGTTGCTTATGGTGAATTATCCAAAAAAAGTGAATAAACTTACAAACTTTCAGAACCTGTATGCGCGGGATGTCAAATGCGCGGCACATCCTACATTCTACAGCTTTGTATGTCTAGTATAATTGCTGTAGCATAGAGCCATACCATGAGCGAATACACATTCGAGCCCCGACATCATAATCCCACAACCCTTGCTTCACCTGCCTCCTTATCTTCTTCCGCCTTCCGGCCACCCAATTGTTATGAATTATCACACAACCCATCTCTTCACACCCTTTTCGAACACTATTCCCCATGTGGAACAACATCCGCGTTGCACCATTAGGGAACCTACTTCTATCGAGGAAATCCACAGTAAGATTAAACTTCGGATTTAAGCACTGGGAATCGCCCACAGTGTACTCAGACGAAGCTCCACACAGCACATCATAGAAACTGGGCTGCTCTGTTATAAGGGATGCTGCTGCATGCGCCACCACCGCTTCTAGAGCCGCCAATGCCCTCGGCTCTGAGCGAATGAAATAAAACCCCGAGTTGAGCCGCCGATAGTCATTATCAGGCCCCGTGTCATTGTGGTTATCGCTCTGAACCACCATATGCCCCGGCCCATGCCCCATGACTATCGGACGCGCGTCCGCAAACCAATAGATATCCGCGTCGTTAAACAGCACGTGGTAACCGGCCCGTAACACGCGCAGCGCGGCCCGAGACTTCACTTTAGTCACATTGAGGAAGCAGTCCGTGCCGAAGTGGCAGTCGTCGCGGCCGAACGCGTCGTCGTATGCGTGGGGGAACACCGGCAGGCCCTGCTCGCGGGCAAAGTCGTAAGTTTCCCTGTCCATGGCGGCTATAACGTAGTTGTGCACGTGCAGGCGACGCAGCCCACACACCCAGCTCATCATCACCTCCCTGTAGTTAGACGCCACCACCGCCAGCACCACTGTCCGCGCTTCGTCCCCCTCCAATGTACCTGACCCCCCGACCCCTACTGTCCTCCCTGTCCCTTCTGTCCCCACTGTCCCTTCTCTAACTTCTGCTTCGGAGTTGGTGCCTCTCGCACTGCCATGCCGCCCACTGCTGCCTCTCCTTCCTGCTGCAGCCTCCTCTCCATTCAATCCTTCATCATCTTGCATGTCTTTCTCTCTCCCCTTCTCTCTGCCTCCCCTCCTCCTCATGCCCGTCCCCCTCCGCACCACCTGTCGCAGCACCCGCAGCATCACCTCATCATGCTCCACTCTCTCGAACGCAAGCGCCCCTACCTCTGTCTCGTTTCTACCCCCACCAGCCCCTCCAGTCCCGTTCCTACCTCCACTCACCCCTCCAGTCTCGTTCCCACCTCCACCCTCCCCTCCTCTCTCATCCCCATCCGTTCCCCCTCCACCCTCCCCCTTCTCATCTTCCCCGCCTAACTCCACCTCCTTCCTCTTGGCCTCTCGCCTCCGCCTCAACCCAAACCCCTCCCTCCTCCACGCTGCTGCTGCCTGCATCAACTCCTCTCTCTCAACCCGCCCAATGCACCTCTGCCCCTCCCCAATGACACCGCCTCCTCGCCCTTCATCCCACCCCCTGCTTGATCCCTCTGCTGCCGCCCTCCCCTGTGCAGCAGTCCTCCCCTCTGCTGCCACTCTCCCCTGTCCAGTAGCCCTCCATCCTGCTGCCACCCTCCCATGTGCACCCGCCCTCCCCTCTGGTGCCACTCTTCCTTCTAGTAGCACCCTCTCCCCACCTTTCTTCCCTCGCCAGTGAAAGCAGAAGCCAGCAGCGCCAGGGTAGGAGCACGGGACAAGGGCCCACGGCACATCTGAGAGAGACACGCGCAGCTCACTGCCTACTCTCTGCTGTTGCTGCTGCTGCTCTGTGGAGGAACCGTGCTCGTTGTGGGAGTGGTCGCTGGTGGAAGAAATGGAGGAGAGCGAGAGCGGAAAGGAACCATAAGAAAGAGCCAAGTAGGCATTCAGCTCCTCCTCTCCTTCCTCCTCTCCCGCTCCCTCACCTCCCCCCTCGCCCTCTCTCGCTCCCTCCTCCCTTCCCTCCCACTCCTCCTCTCCTTCCCAGTCGCCCATCCCCTCCTCCACAGCAGCAGCAGCAGCAGCAGCAGCAGCAGCAGCAGCAGCCCCTTTGGGTGGCAGCAGCAGCACGGGCTTCAGTGCAGATGCATCGATTACGAGGCGGAGGGGTGAGGAGAGGCACTCGTGCAGCACCCACTGCTGCCACACGTCCCGCACTGACGCTAGTGCACGGCGGTGACGGCCTGGTGTGTGGTAACCAGGTAACCCCCGGCGTGTGGAATCGTTGCTCGAAGCTTGAGAGCCGGCCTTTGGATCTACCGTTTCTTGCTGCCCCTCCTCCCGACCGCCCTTGCCCTCTTTCCCACTGTACTCCATTCCCCTTGACCCCGCACGATCTCCCTTGCTACCCCCCCTCTCTGTGTGGGGCTGCAGCATGCGGAAGGGCGGAATGGGGCCAGAGAGGAGAGGGGTGCGGCCTACATTCCATGCCCACAGGATGGGGGGCGAGCAGGGCGAGTGGGTGAGCAAGGAGGACGACTGGAGATGACATAAAGCCTCATCCATGCTCAACTGACGTGTCACTCCTGTTTCACTGGTCACCACCCATGCATACTCCTCCTCACTGTCACCGTTTCCTGCACTGTTCTCTTTCCTCAATGCCGCCCCACCTGCCCCAACCCTCCTCCACTCAACCGAACCAGCTCCCGAACCTCCTGCCGAGCCTCCTAATGAGCTTTCTCTCGAGCCTCCTGCTTCAACCTTCCATGCGCCTGCCACCAGCAGCCAGTCTCCCTGCACGTCCCGTGTCTTTTCCAGAGCTACACTCAGGCTCGGCATAAGCACAGCCTCGGGATCAGTCAGGACAATCGCCAAGCCTGCACGGGAGGCTCGGGCGCGGGCAAAGAGGCTGTTGGCTAAGGGTCGGCCTGAGGCGAAGCTAGGGAGGGGGCAGAAGGGAAGAAGGGGAGGGCATGGGGAGTGGGGAAGGGCATGGGAAAGCGGGGAAGGGTACGCGGAAGCGATGGAGGAGATAGGATGAGGGAGGAAGGGGAAGTGGTGGTCTATTATTGTGAGCCACTGGGATTGGAAGACAATAGATGGGGATTCTCCCCAGTGGTTTATTGTTGTGAACCACTGGGAGAATACTACCGGGAGAATCCGGATGATGTATTCAAAGGGAGTGAAGAGTCCAGGAATTTAGACAAGGGGTTTGAGATTATTCTCCTCCATATGCCAACGGACCTCACGTCAAGCGCTATGCACCCCTCCCAATCCGCCCCTCTCCACACGCAATGGGCCCCATCCCTTCTCGCCTCCTACCTCCTCTTCCACCACGACTGGTCCGGCGTATCTCGCGGCAACGCAGTGGAACGTGGGATGGGCCCCACCAGCACCACACCCATGCGCCCCTCTCCATGCGCCAATGCCCCCCATGCCTTCTCTCCCCTACCTCGTATCCACTTCCTCTTCCACCACGACTCGTCCGGGGTATCTCGCGGCAATGCGGTGGAACGTGAGATGGGACCCCACCAGCACCACTCGCACGCCGGGCTGCAGACGCACCCACCCGAGCCCAGAGATTTGAACCCACCCGTCCCCACAGGCCCATTCCCCCTCAATGCGCCCCGTGCCCTCCCCACGTACCTCATATCCACCTCCTCTTCCACCACCACTCGCCCCGGGTGTTGTGCAGCGACGCTGTGCAGGCTGGGATGGGACCCCACCAGCACCACGCGCACGCCGGGCTGCAGACGCACCCACGACGCCACCGCCGCGCGCTGCCGCCTCCCCTGCCTCCCCGCGAACGGCCGCGGAGCCACGAAGAGCTCCGCGAAAACGGCGGGAGTGGTAACCCGTTCGCTAGTGGAGGCTCGGCGGAGTGGTTGATCCTGGTAGTCGGCCATCCGTGTGCTGGTGAACGGGGGAAATTCTGATTGGTTGCGACGATTCCAAGGATCGCACGGCGACTGGGCGCGTTGCACAGGCGAGTCAACACGGTCAACAAAGTCGTTTGAGTCAGCTACACTCCAGCCTTCGTCTTCGCCCCGCGCATAACATTGTGCTTTCTCGAGCTGCCACGTGGCACTAAACGACACGAGCGTCAATCCGAGGGCCAGGATCCAGAGCAGCGGCAAGCAGGGAAGCAGCGGAACGTCGGAGGAGAAGGATTTGAAGCATGTGGTCCGGCGTGGAGGGGCTTCGGGATTGGATGGCTGACGTGGAGGGAAGACGAGCAAGGAGGTATCACTGGAGGTAAAGGAGACCGTATTCGCCGATAAACTTTTAACGGGGGAGTCGTTAGCGAGTGGTTCACTCAGAGTAATGGTGAGGGGTGGTGAGTCGTAAGGCGGGGTGATAGATTGAGAGGATGCGCTCCGACGGGATAACGATCGGTGAATGTCCCCTTTCGGGTGCATGGTGAGTCGTCTCCAGGCCACCGAGGCTCAAAACTATTTCAAGAGACTTTTTTGGAGTGACGGATGTCAGTGGCCCATGAAAATGGATTAAAAATTAAAGCCCGAGTCTAGAATGGTTACTCTTCAAGTTCAAGATTCTTGAACTAGAAATCGCCAATGAACCAGGTAACCTGGTTTGGAACACCGTCCCCTCGCAGCCCCCAAAGGAGTGTTTGAAGCGCATGAATTTGATTGGATGAAACTACAACAGCCACAACAGTCACAGCCATCGCCAGAAAAACACAAAACTGGAACTACTGTTCACCCTTTCCGGAACTTGAAGCAAGAGGTTACCTTTCTAGACTCGATGGTAGTGGGCTCCATAGCCCTCAGAATCAGTTTTATCCCGTGAATGATGTGTGGCTTTCACCAGTCACTCTACTTAGTATAGGGTCAATGGTAGCATTACTCACGCCCCTCACTCCTGTCACTCGTAATCCTGACGTGCACCTCCTATTCGCACATGTTATCGCAAACGTCCACAAGACAGCTAATTCTCCGCGTTCCAAAGACATCGCTCGCTCGCACGCGTTTAGGATTCGAGCAGACTCCACGCGAACACCTTCCACACACACGCTCCCCGTCACTCGCAATACATGTAATTGCATCCGTATACGTGGCTCTCTAGGCTCCACGCCCTCCCAGTTCTTGCCCAAAACTCTCCCCGCGATTTGCGCTCGCCTCCCCTCCCGTCGCCTCCCCTCCCGTCGCCTTTTAGGTGACGCTCCCTTCCCGCGCCCGTCGCCCACGCTTGCTCTGAGTGTCGCCCACACTCTCCCAACCCGTCGCTCGCCGCCATTCCCTTCACGTCGCCCTCGCTTTTCCTACCGTTCGCCCACGCGATTCCTTCCCGTCACCCTCGCCTTGCCTTCCCGTCGCCCTCGCAATTCCTTCCCTTCGCTATCGTAGGTCGTGCTCGACCAGTACAACCCTCGGCTCAGACTCCCTCGTAACCTCCCTTCCCTCCCTCCATTCGACCCTCTCCGCCGCTCGCCTTCCGCCCCACATTCGCATCGCTCACTCGATCCCGTCGCGCTCTCCCTCCCGTCGCTCGCTCAAACCCTCCGCTCACACGGTGCTATCGCCTCATCGTCGCTCACACACTCACGTTTGACACGCCCGCTCCGAACACTCCCCAGTAGCACACTCCCTATCCCCTATCGTCGCTCAAGAACTCCCGTCCCGCAATTGCTGCTGTCGCTCTCGTTCCTGCTGTCCCCCTTTGGTCGTCCATTGCCTTTCTTCGTCACTCGCGGGCTTCGCTCACCCCCCTCCCTGCTTCCTCCCTCCTTCCCCTCCATATCCCGTCATGCGCCAACCTAGGAAGCACCAACCTCCGCGTGCCTGCCGCGCGTAACGGTGCGTGCAGATCCGGCTGGCTTGTGCCCCACTACTAGACATCCTACGCCTTCCTAGAGGTGCGGGCGATAGGCGGGGGGGAGGGAGATGTGGGGGAGGGGAAAGAGAGGGCTGGGGGATGGCTGACAGGGGGCTGGGAGAGGGCTGGGAGAGGGGAGGGGGGAAAAAGGGCGGGGAGGGGGGGGGGGAAGAGGGGGGGGGAGGGGGAGTAGGAATGTGGATAGAGAGAAGGGGGGGGGGGGGGAAAGGGGAGCTTGGTTGGTGATGAAAGTGTGAGGGTTGCGCAGCGTGAAGAAATGTGTGGCGACGGTGATTGCGCACAGTTGTACAATACAAGAGTTTCGACCCCTCTCACTTAGGGTATTCCCGTGCCACCCATGCGACATAGATTGCTCAGGTGTGCACACGTTGTGCGAGATCTTCCCACCTTGGCCTTCCCGCCGGTTCCCCTCTGCGCCATCCCCGCTCTTTCCCTCCCTCTCCTTTCTCCCCTCCCCCCATCCCCTTCTTCCCCCTACAGCCTGCAGGTGCGCAAGTAAGTGTGCATGTATACCGCTGGCTACTTCCAAAACAGCCCCTCTCCACTTCCCCGCACTCATCTCCTCCCCTGCTGCAGGTGTGAGAAGACTTCAAACGTCTCTCCGACACCCCTCATACACACTCCTTCTCAAACACAAGGCCTTTAGCTCTCACACCCTCTCACACGCTTCGCTCACTCACACCCGTCCCTCTCTCCTCTCATCACGTACTCATGCTTCCCGCTCTTCCACTCCACACCCTTCTAGCCACACTTCCTCCTTCCTAACTTGCCCTTCTTCTCCCCAGCTGTGCCTCTCTTCCCTCCGTCTCACTTTGCCCTGATAGGGTTTTCCCCTCCGTCCCTCACAGTGCAGCCTGTCTACTGTCTTCACCCTCAGCCCATCTCTCCCCGTCCTTTCCCCCCCCTGATCTCCTCTCCGCCTCTGCCATCTTTTCCTACTTGCCGCCCTCCCTTCCATCTCCCTTCGGCCTGCGCTGTTTCTTCCGACTCTCACCCGTGCTGCTCCCACTTCCGTACACACAACTACCCCACTCCCCCTGTGCTGCTCCCTCCCACCTCCGCACCTCGTGTTTGTCACTTCCCCCCTCACGCGCCCCATGTTATTTCTTGATAAACCCCGGCTCCTTCGCGCCCTTCCCTCCCTCTCTTCTCGTCCCTTACTCCCCTAATCCTCTACTACCTTCCCGCCCAACTCATCTCATCTCTTCCCTCTATGCCCCTGTCCGCTCCCCCGTTTCGCATTCCAGGGATTTTCATTCATTGCCCCCAACTCGCGACTCACAGAATGCATGTGCAGCACCAACACTCACCGTTCGCGAGTGTGATCCTGCGGAATGATAACGGGCATAACATGGATTAGGCGAGCTCGTTTAGGGATAATGGACTTGACACTGCTCCCCCTCCCTACACACTGTCCAAAAGACTGTTCCCTGCTGCTCAGCCATCTCACATCTTATTTCTTGTTGTGTTTGTACAGGTCCGCTATGCATCTGTTCGTGGTGTGGCGATGTGTTGGCTAGCAGTTTGATAGTACTATAATGACTAGCCATGCCATGTTTGGATGTTGGGTGCTTTGTTATAATACAAACTCGGAGCTGAGGAGCGGGCATGCACATGACCACTACAAAAAAGTGCAACAAAGTTCACAGTCGATTATTGACACGAAGAAGACTGCAAGGAATTGTAATGTTCTTTCCCCATTCTTGTCTACTACACTGCATGCAGCTGGAAGCCTGGGACCTGTACACTGCGTGGCTGGAACTGGGGGGCGAGTGAAAGGGGTAACAGATTGAGCAGCGCAAAAAGAGAGTGCACAGTAAGAATTAGAGTGAGCAGGGAGGATGAGAGTGAGCAAGGGGGAACAGAGCGAGTAGGGGGGGAGAGAATGGGCAGGAGAACAGAGTGATTAGGGGGAAGAGAATGAGCAGGGGAAACAGAGTGAACCCTGGACATAAGAATGGAAAGGTGAAATGAATGAATGGGGGAGGGGAGGTGAAAGGGAGTTAGTTAGGCTGGGAGGCTAGTATGGAGGAAGGAAGGGAGGGAGGAAGAGTTAACTTATTCCATGGAAGGATGTAGGTATGGGTGAAGCGTACGGTGGGAGAGTCGGAGGAGACGGTAAAGACGGGTAACAGGAGTGTTAGAGAAGGTGGTGGGGAGGGAAACGACAGCCCCCGAGGGCGATGGGAGGGGGATGGGAGGGGGATGGGAGAGTGTCAAACAATATGTTTAATATATACCCTGCGTGCTGTAGGTACTGTAGTTATTATTATTAAGAGTTGGTGGTGCACCTTCTTTGTTGCTTTGCTATATGTACCTTGTGTGCTATAGTGAAACCCCTTTTTTCCTTGCCTAAACTCTCTCGACACTTTCTCCTCTTCACCCTAGCATGGCTCCTCACCTCTAGCTACTATCTTGACATGGTACAGAGCTGGTTCTTTCCCGGAACCTTCTCTTTTTTTAAAGATTCATGGGCCCGCCCGTACTACAGCGCGAAATGCGCTATTTTTTTTTTTTCTCCCCGTTCGCCCGTCGCGCGCGCCCTGCCCGTCCCCCCGAACGTGCCACGTCGGCTGCCTCGCGGACGCCCCGTCGGCTGCCCCGCGGACGCCCTGCCCGTCGCCCGCTGCCCCCCCGTTTCGTCGCCACGCGGCCCCCATTTCGTCGCCACGCGGCCCCCGTTTCGTCGCCCCCGTCACCCCGCAATCCGCCAGCGCGGAGGCCAGCGCCGCGGCCAGCCGCCAGCGCCAGCAGCAGCTACCGCCGCCCCCCCCCCCCCCGCCCTCCCTTCCGCGGCTTCCGTCGTGGGGAGGGGGGAGGGAGGGGGAAGGGGTTGTGGGGGGGGGGCGGGTGTGAGGAGCCTGCCACTCCTCCCTCCCTTCCCTCTTCCTCTCTCCCTGCAGCAACTGTTGCTGTAGGGGGGGGGGGGGGGGAGAGGGTAAGGGGGGATGTGAGAGGGTAAGGGAGGAGGGGGAGATGTGTGGGTGGCGTGTGTGAGCTGCCTGCAGCCCGTCCCTCCCCTCTCTCTTACTGCAGGGATTGTCACCGTAGAGAAGGGGGGGGGGGGAGAGAAGTGCAGAAGGGTGAGGGGGTGGCGGGAGAAGACAGGTGCGGAAGGTGTGAGGTTGACGGGGTTGAGTGACGAGGGGGGTGAGGACTAGGGGGTTCTTAACGGGGGGGGATCGCATTGAGCGTGCGCGCTCATGCCCGCCTAGCCCACCTCCTCTCCTCATCGGGACTTGGGGGTTCTTAACGGGGGGGGATCGCTATGAGCTTTCGCGCTCAAGCCCGCCTAGCCCACCTCCTCTCCCTTCCCTCTCTCACCTCCCCTTTGTAAAAGGAGGTTCGTAAGCGGGTCCGCCGGTCCTGGCCCCCCACCTCCTCTCCTCTCCTCTCCTCTCCTCTCCTCTCCTCTCCTCTCCTCTTCTCTCCTCTCCTCTCCTCTCCTCTCCTCTCCTCTCCTCTCCTCTTCTCTCCTCTCCTCTCACCTTCCTCACTTCTCTGCCTTCTTCCACAGCGCTTGGTTTGCTCGTTCAGGGGGTGCTGGCTGCACCAGTTTCTACCGCACGCAGGCTAAGGGGGTGTGTCAAACAATATGTTTAATATATACCCTGCGTGCTGTAGGTACTGTAGTTATTATTATTAAGAGTTGGTGGTGCACCTTCTTTGTTGCTTTGCTATATGTACCTTGTGTGCTATAGTGAAACCCCTTTTTTCCTTGCCTAAACTCTCTCGACACTTTCTCCTCTTCACCCTAGCATGGCTCCTCACCTCTAGCTACTATCTTGACAGAGAGGGATGGGAGGGGGATGGGAGGGGGATGGGAGCGGGATGGGATGGGGGTGGGAGGGGGATGGGAGGGGGGTGGGAGGGGGGGGAGGGGGATGGGAGGAGGATGGGAGGGGGATGGGAGCGGGATGGGAGGGGGATGGGAGCGGGATGGGAGGGGGATGGGAGGGGGATGGGAGGGGGATGGGAGGGGGATGGGAGGGGGGTGGGAGCGGGATGGGAGGGGTATGGGAGGGGGATGGGAGGGGGATGGGAGGGGGATGGGAGGGGGATGGGAGGGGGATGGGAGGGGGATGGGAGAGGGATGGGAGGGGGATGGAAGGGGGATGGGAGGGGGATGGGAGCGGGATGGGAGGGGTATGGGAGGGGGATGGGAGGGGGATGGGAGCGGGATGGGAGGGGGATGGGAGGGGGATGGGAGGGGGATGGGAGCGGGATGGGAGCGGGATGGGAGGGGGATGAGAGGGGGATGGGAGCGGGATGGGAGGGGGATGGGAGGGGGATGGGAGCGGGATGGGAGGGGGATGAGAGGGGGAAAGCGGGGGCGACGGGAGGGGGAAAGCGAGGGCGACGGGAGGGGAAAGCGAGGGCGACGGGAGGGGGAAGCGAGGGCGACGGGAGGGGGAAGCGAGGGCGACGGGAGGGGGGCGGGGGAAGCGAGGGCGACGGGAGGGGGAAGGGGGGGCGACGGGAGGGGGAAGGCGAGGGCGACGGGAGGGGGAAGCGAGGGCGATGGACGGGGGAAGCGAGGGCGACGGGTGGGGGAAGCTAGAGCGACGGGCGGGGATAGATTGAAGCACGGTGCTTCACACTCGCACACGCGCCACATTCCCTCCCTCGGGCCTTTGATTCCTCTCGATTCCGGCCGCAGCGTAAATTTTCTCTCATGTTATACCCAGCTATTTTTTTCTGGACACTTAGTTTCCTAAACTGCTGTTCTTTCTATCTACACGCACGCTTTTAGAGTGCGCTTCTGGACTTTGGGCGAAAATCTGAGTTGTGAGCTGCGTGATAGTGGTTGGGTTTTGTTTTGTCGTTGCTGCTTGTTCAAGTTTCCTGAAGTTGAATTTTGAATGTTGCGAATGAAGCTGGGGCATTCCGCTTTCGCCACCAGCCTCTCGCGAATTTTCCTCTCGTCAACCTTCGTACAATACTTTTCAAGGTCAGTAATTTTGAACCCTTGCCATTCTAGGCGCCGGCTTTAAGGTAGCCGACGGACTTTTTTGGAGTGACGGATAGGTTGACGATGCACGGCAATACCAACGGCAAGGGTCAAAGCGAACTGAATGAATGGGGTTGCTTGTAGGGGAGCAAAATACCCAACCTCGAAGGAGAATTTGATTGATTGTAGTATTTCATATTGTTACTATTTATGAGGTATGTATTAGATTGCCATGATGACCACAGTACAAAAGCAGAATAATATCTCCCCTATTGGTTTGAGACTAATGAATTGTCAAAATGAAGAATGGATGATGCATTGATGTTGGTTGGGGTACATATAGCTAACCCTAAGTTTTGTACCCCCTAAGACAAACCTCACTATAGGCTACAACATTTGACACACCCCCATAGCCTAAGTGAGGGGTGTCTAGCAGAACCAAACGAGTACGGTCACAAGACCAGTCCAAGAAACGAAGCTCAGGGTGGATCACAATGTCACCACACAGTCTGAGCACAAACAACAGTGGCCACAAGGCCAGTCCAAGAAGTAACAGAGGTATATAGAAAGCAAAGTAAACAGTACACTCAAGTCTAAGCAACACGAGAACCAGTGTCAACAAGGCCTAACTGCACACAGCACCTCTGGTGGTCACAAGGCGGAAGCGCCTTGGTGAAGATGTCTGCAGTGTTGGCCTCGGACTCCACAAACTCAAAGCGAGCCTGTCCACGCCTCTGCAACTCTCGCAGAAGAAAGTACCTGACGTGAATGTGCTTCACTCTGCTCTCCAGTCGTGGCTCTCGACAAAGGAGAATAGACGCCTTGTTGTCAGTGAACAAGGTCGGTGCAGAGCTCGGCCGCTCACCAAGGTCGGTGAGCAAGAAGGTCAACCAACGCAGCTCCTGTGCCGCCATGGCACCAGCGTAGATCTCAGCCTCAGCTGTAGAGGTCGAGACCGAAGAGGAGCGCGTGGACCGCCAGGAAACAGCTCCAGAACCCAGGCTGAAACAGTACCCCTGAGTAGACCTGTGAGTCTCAGCGTCGTCAGCGTAAGAGGAGTCACAGTGACCAGTAAGTACGACAGACTGCTGCCCTCCAAGAACTAGCCCCACGCCTGACGTCGTCGCTAGGTACTTCGCCACCCTCACAGCTGCTGTCCAGTGAACAGGACGGTGTCTCCCTGGCGCAACAAAGCGCGCAAGAACGCTGAGAGGGAAGGCGAGGTCCGGGCGAGTACAAGTCATCAGGTACATGAGGCAACCCACAAGCTCTGCGTAGGGACCACTAGGCTCGAACGGCTCGTCAGGAAAGGGTCCAGTGAGTCTGTGGTCAACAGCAAGAGGTGTGCGCTGTACTGTGGAGTGCTGAAGCCCGAACCGCTGAAGGACCTGCTGCACCATGTGCGACTGTGAAAGTGTAATGGTGCGAGCAGCTCTGTCCCTGGTGATCTGCAGGCCAAGGTAGTGGCGCAGCTCACCAAGATCAGTGCAGGTGTGTCTCTTCTGCAGTTCGGACTTCACGTGTGCCAAAGCAACCCTGTCAGGGGTGGCGAAAACAAGGTCGTCAACGTAGACCAGAACAAAGAAAGGTGTGGGGCCACGACGAACGAACAGCGACGGGTCAGCAGAAGACGGCTGGAACCCAAGGTCAGACAGGGTAGAACGCAGGGTGTCGTGCCACTCACGAGGAGCCTGACGAAGACCGTAAACTGGTCGCCTCAGCCTCCACTGGGTCCCAGGAGGGAAAGAGCCAGTGAAGGCAGAGGGACGACGCAACCAGACCTCCTCGTGAAGACTGCCCTGAAGGAAAGCAGTAGAGAAGTCGAGAGAGTGTAACTCGTAGTCTCTCTGTGCTGCTACGTGTAGTAACACCCGAAGAGTGGTCATCTTCGGGGTGGGCGCGAAGGTCTGAAAGAAGTCAACTCCCTCGCGCTGACTGAAACCTCTAGCCACGTAGCGCGCCTTGAAGACCGGAGGAGATCCCGGTGGCCGCTTCACCCTGTAGATCCACATGCCGTCGACTACGTTCGCCCCCGGAGGGGGAACCTCATCGACGTAGGTGCCTGTGGATCTGTAGGAGGCCATCTCTGCGTCCATGGCAGCTCTCCACTGAGAGGCCCAAGGCCCTGACACTGCCTCAGCGTAAGTGCGAGGAGTCGGAATGTCAAGGGCGTCGGGGTCACCCTCAGGGGCGAGGAGCATGGCACAGAGATGAGGGGAAGCGGCCGCCAGGAACTCTAGCTCAAACTGCCTGTCCTCTAGGGCGTCACAGCCAAGGGCAGACACACCCCCGACGGCCAGAGGACTGGAAGGAGGAGCTGCCACAAGAGCGGTGGCGAAGTCAAGGCGGCGGGTAGAGGCAAAGTCAGTGACTGCGGCAGTAAGAGCGGACACAGAGGACACAGAGGCACGAGGGTGGGTAACAAGAGAGGCGAGAACACGAGAGAGAACAGGACGGTACGTGCGGTAGTAGTCAGTGACAGGGGAAGGAAGCGACACAGTGAGGGCCGACTCAGGAGGAGACGGAAGCACAGACGGAGACGGACGAGGTGGACGAGAACAAAGGAAGGCTGTACGAAGGTCAGTGAAGGGAACAGGAGACGAGGGACGAGCACGAGGGGAGCGACGAGAGGCCCAAGTCTGAGAAGGAGGAGGAGACAACGAAGACTGAGAACGAGGGAAAACAGCGGGAGAGGGGTCAGGAGGAGGAAGCGGAGGACCAGAGACGGGAGGAGAGGGGGAGGAGGAAGGAGAGGGAGACGGGAGACCAAGGGTCCGAAGACCCGAGACAGGAGGAGGAGACGGCAGCAGCTGCTGCTGCTGCTGTTGCTGCTGCTGCTGCTGCTGCTGCTGCTGCTGCTGCTGCTGCTGCTGCGGCTGCTGTGGCTGCTGCTGCTCCAGCGGCTGCTGCCTCTGCTGCTGCTCCTGCTGCTGTCGCTCCTGCTCCTCGAGCCGCTGCAACTCTCTCTCCTCTCTCTCCAACTCCAGCTGCTCCTCACGAGCACGGCGAACACGAGCCTGGAACCTGGTCGGGTAGGGGTGGGGGGAAGGAGTAGTGTCCGGGGCAGCGGCAGCCCCAGAGTCGACCTCCGAAGCACCAAGCACACCACCCCCAGAGGCAGCACCAACACCAGCTCCAGACCCAGGCTCTCCAGAAACCGAAGGGACACCCTCACCCCCAGACGCAGCACCCCCAGACTCCGCACCAGCACCCCCAGACTCCGCACGACCAGTACCAGCCCCCGGAAGACAAGAGTCCTCTGCAACCCGCGGCTCAGCTCCAACTCCAGCACCCCCAGAACCAGAGACCTGTACAGGGACAGTCGCAGGACCAACCTCCCGAGAGGGAGCACCTGCAGGAGGCGGCGAGGAAGACTGTGGGGAGGGAGGCTGTACCGGAGGGGCTACCGAAGGAGGAGGGGTAGCCTGGGACACACCTGACGGGGCTGGACCAGGGGGGGGAGGCTGTACCGGGGGAGCAGGCGGGGGAGCGGCGGTCAGGAAGAGAGGGGGGGGAGGGACCGGGAGACCTCGACTGGGGTACCTGACGTAGTAGGGGGTGGACTCCTCGAAACGGACGTCACGGGAGTCAAAGAACCGGTGAGAGGGAGGGTGGTAAAAGGTGAAGTCAGAGGAGTCCTCAGGGAAACCAAGGAAGACACAAGGAACGGCGCGAGGCGAGAGCTTGTCCGCGGAGGTGTCGCGGACAAGAGCCAAGCACCCCCAGACACGAAACCTCGACGCGACACCAGGGGACCCTGTCCAAAGACTGGTCGGTGAAGCCTCCGGCCGAGAGACGCGTGGCCAGAGGTTCAGCTGGTGCGCGGCGTACCTGACTGCGTATGGCCACAGGAAATGGGGGGCACGGGCGTGAGTCAAGGAGGTGCGGGCAATCTCCATGACCAGGCCTATGCGACTTCAGCAACCCCATTCTGCTGTGGGGACTCCGGAAGCGTCCAGGACTGACGAATGCCCTGTTCGCGACAGAATCCAGCGAGAATGCCGGAGCGAAACTCGCCCCCGCGGTCGGAGTGGAGACAGCTGACACGACGACCACGAGTGTCCTGGGTGGTAAGCAACCACCTGATCAGCGTAGAAGTCACCTCAGACTTCCTCGCCAGGGGGAACACTGTGGTGTAGCGGGAGTAGTCGTCAACGACCACCAAAAAGAAACGCTCACGCTCAGGGCCAAGGCGAGGAGAGGGGCCCCAGACGTCCAAGTGCAGCGTCTCAAAAGGCTCGGTGGCCGGACGAAGGGAGGAGGAGTGAGGGGTGGCACGCAGCCTACCCTCGACGCAAGGACCGCACGGTGGTGCAAGGGACGGCGGCAGCGACGGCAAGACACGCGGGAGACCTAAGACCAGACGCTGACTAGACATAGCACGCAGACGTGGAAGAGAAGGGTGTCCCATCCGGTGGTGCCACAGAACGGTGGGGTGGGCAAGCGACCGACAGGAGCAAGACGCAGCGACTGGACTGGACGCGACAACCTGAGGGGACGGAACCACCTGGTGAGACGCAGGGAGGAGACTAGGGGGAGGGACAGGAACTGGGAGGAGTGGCTGCTGCGACGGCGGCCGCTGTGGCTGCGGCTGCTGCCGCTGCTGCTGCTGCTGCGGCTGCTGCTGCTGCTGCAGTCGCTGCTGAGCGCGCGGGCCAGTGTGAAGA